GATCACTACACTTTCCAGAACATTCTATCTCCATATTGCGAGCGCAGCGAACCGCGGGGGCGCCGAAGCAGTGTTGGTTTTTTACGGGGCTTTTTACTTTAATTAAGTGAAAGCCTCTGTAAAAATGTAAAAAGTAGATTTTCAAACGTGAAAAAGGAAAAATATCTCAGATGACCACGCGCCTGCCCAGCCAAGAAACCCGAGGCCGAGCCGGCCGCCCCCGCCGCCCTGAAGCAGGCAGCACCCAAGCAGGCGTCTCAGAAGCAGGACCCTCCGAGCATGTTCATCCGTTTCAGCTTGATTTTCATCACTTCGAGCCGGCTTCCTTGTAACGCGAGCGTAGTACAAGCACTCGTCCAAGTGCTTCTCCCAACTTTCCTTTCGCCCACGGATGTGGGTAGGAAAAGGAATGGTTGTTTTAGCACTTACATGGGCGGCGTAACAATACTTGCACACAGTCCACCACATCGATTTATTGCATTTCTCATTGAGCCGGTAAAAGTTCATGCCAAGAGGACCTGGTGGGCGTCCACGTTTGGACCCGTCATCTTGCAGCCCGGGTAGGAGCTCCATGAGGGTGGAAGTAGATCGGCGGCGGCGGTGTGAATGCGTACGGTGGGGATTCTTTTGTTGTGAATCAAGCTCGGGGCAGTCCCGGTCGGTTGAAGTAGGCTTAGCTTTTTTTACGTCAACAATGCAAGATCCCTCTGTAAAAATGTTTTAATTTAGCGCATAAAACCCTTTTAACGTAAAAATGTAAAAATGCCAACACTGGCCGAAGGGGCGCCTGGTCCCTTTTCTGCTGTGACCTCTAATCGTCGATTATGTCTTCTTGCGACACTCAGCAGGTCAAAACTTTACAGAAGTCAAGTCAAATGATTTGCTGTGTGCTGAAACAGTATGCATATGTTCTGTCTCGTACATGCTCAATCGGATACTTATGCGTGATTGGTGATTACTGCTTTAAATAACTAAAAGAGCAAATTTGGCATTCCTAAGGGCTAGACCAAATAAGGGCCACAACCGAGGCCGGACGGTTGTGAGTCACATGTGCTATCAGTATCGGCCACGTCGTTGATGTTCACGAAGCTCATCCTGGCATAATCGCATGTTCGACATCTTGGGCTGGACGTTGCACGACCTATTCGTGGCACTGCAAAAGTCAGGCCGACTTTAGAAATACAAAACTACACCAGTTTAGAATGTATGTACAGTACCATACATGTACTCGGGGAATACCGTGCAAATATTGGTTCGCTTATCACCACGTCGATGAAAGAAAGACGGACTACGTGCAGCGAGAGACCTCGGAGAGGGAGCTGGGACACGCTTCTGTCTAACACAGTCAAATTGAACATGTACTAATAGCACTGCAACACTGTTCGTGTGTACAAAGTTTTCAAATAACCATCGCAAAATAAAACAAATCATTTTAATATGCTTTGTTTACGTGTCGGGTTTCAAACATTATCATTGGATGGCCACTCGGGTACCAGAAGCCTATAAACGAAATCGTCGACGACGATGGAGCTCATAACACCATTTTTCGCGTCGACATGAACCCCCAAGTTCTCGCCACGATATTTGTCACAGCAGCGTGGGTTTGTGCTACTGCAAAGATCGATCATGACAAAGTTCAGCCCTTCTCTCAACCTACGCCGGTCACGATTTCTGAAAAAGCTGCCATCACGTTCAAACCACAACTATACACCCCAAAAAGCGTGTGTGTCCCGTTCCCTGCCGCTAATGCTTACGGTGAGATCACCGGGGGTTTGAAGGGGTCGAATGGGAACGATGCGTGCGTGTTTCCTCCATTGGGCTCGCAGGTTTATGGTCGAGTTGGATGGTTCAGGGATGTATGGGCTATCATGTATGCCTGGTACTTCCCAAAAGGTTTTTGGATGGGGTTCGTCTCGAGACGACATGACTGGAAGAATGTCGTTGTATGGATTGATAACCCCGGGTTAGAAGAGCCAAAGATTCTTGGGGTATCGATGTCCAAGTCCGAAACCAAGTACACCAAGGAACGTAGGCTGTGGCCATCCAACTTTGCTGGATTCTATAGGATGGGCCGGAGATATGACCGCAGCTACATTTATGGCTTCAACACGTTCCTCCGATTTTACTACCACTTTGATGTAGGCACTCCAAACTTGTACTTATCCGAGTGGGAGGGTGAGTATCAGGATTTGATCATGTGGGAACAGCTCACCGACGTAGCTCGTGCCGCTTTAAACGGCAGCAACAACTTTGAAGAAGTAGAAGTCCCGATTAGTGATGAACACTTCGAAACCCGTCTAGACGAGGCCTGGCTTTTCTAGTCCCAACACTTTGGCTAATACACGCTTTGATTTCTTAAGCTCTAAGAGGGCAATGAATATTAATTGGTCGTCAAATTTTTGCGAATCATACGAAAGTAATCGTAAAAAATTATTAATTGGTCTGTTGAACAACAAATAAAATCATGGATCGGAAGGTTTCCGCGCTATTAGACCTGAGCAAACAGCATTGTGAGAAGGCATTGATCCCTCTTGAGCTTGCCGCCTTTTCAACGACGTACTACGCCTCGTTCATTTGAGCGTTTATTAATTTGTGAGAGGCTGGCTAGCTAGCTTTATGACCGAGAGCTGACAGTGAGAAACTAAGCAAGGCACAGGCGTTCATGCTCCGCAGTGCAACTACAGATACAATAACGGATCTAAGACGGCAACTACATCGCCACATTCTGAGGGGGCGCTCAGTGGGGCTTCTGGAACTTCAGCGGTAGGCGGTGGGGGGCTGCTCGCTGCAAGAAGCAGCATGTACGCGTTAGCATTGGCGAGTGAGGTAGCGTCACAAGGCAGTGACGTAGGGAGAGTGACAGCTCGTACTTGCTTGTCCTTGTGCCGGAGGCGCGCCAACTTGTGCGTGGGCGTGAGTAGTGGACGGGTCTGTCTGAGCGCACGCCGTATGTGATCAGCTGCTGAACCAGGTAGCAGCTCATGTTGGACGCGCGCTGAAGCAGACGCTGGTTTTCGCGCTCATTAACAGGAACTGCAGCGATTCTCTCGCACAGCTCAGCTCGAACCACCTTCTTCCTACCACGTGCGCTCTTCCTTGACTTGACCACGGCTGCCACTCGATCTCCCATCGAATTGATTCCACGCCTCCAAATTCGCTCGACAGCTTGGCGGCCCACACGGAAGTACGCTGCAACCCGAACGATCTCTCCATGTTTGAGCACTTCTCCCACGCTGCGAAGCTGTAAGGTCTCCCAGACGGCCTGGCGCTCACTGTCTGTGATCTCCCCCAGGTGCCAGCTTTCAAAATGAAAGCTGGGAGCGGGAGCCAGTCTGGTCGGGAAAGCGCGGGAGATTCGAAATCTAAAAAGTGATCGGCATAGAGGGGGTATTTTTTTGGGTAGGCTGTAATATAATTTCAAATGGTTATTTTTTTCAGAACGGAGGTAGTATCCGATTGAGACTAATGTTTAGCATTTAACAAATA